TAGATATATATATATACATATATATATATATATATATATATATATATATATATATATATAAAAAGATTCAAACTCTGATTCTACGTGGTCTATTTCTCCATGATTCTGCATGTCGGTTCCATCCCCTGAATTTTCTTGGACATATCACACTACTTTGATTTTGCAGACAAAAGTTTTTCAAATATTAATACGCACATTTGTTAAAGCATTTCTTTCTAATAAATAATGATTGAAAATGATGCCAAACTACCTAATAAGGTTTTCTTTTCAAGAATTCATGATTTTAATGAGGCTTTTTTTCTTCATTATGAAATCAGGACAATTGTACCACCCTGACATTTTGAGTTTAATAGGTAGGACAAAAAAGGAGCATCACATGACCTCAAAGAAAAACACTGTTTTGGGGAAATAGCAAAAACTAGAGGAATAATAACTACAAGCACCAAAAAACTAAACTTCTGGATTTTCAAACCATAGTGAAGCATAAGACAAATTAAAGGGGAAATTTAATGGACTTTCATTGCCTTTTTTTTTTTTTAATGCTAAAAACGATCACTTTAATATGCTCAAATGCAGATTTGGTGCTCAAGAAACATTTCCTATTATTATCAATGTTAAAAACCGTTATTGCTGCTTAATGTTTTTGTGAAAACTGTGATACACTACCGTTCAAAATATTTTTTATTATAGTTTTTTTTTCTTTTAGAAATGTGTCTTGAATACTTTTATTCAACAAGGAAGCAGTAAATTGATCAAAAGTGACCGTAAATATCAGTAAATATTCATAATATTACAAAAGATTTCAAATAAATATTTTTAACTTAATATTCATCAAAGAATCCTGAAAAAAAGATCAGTTTCCGCAAAACTATTAGCACAACAACTGTTTACAACATTCATATGATGTGTTTTATGTTTATTGAGCAGCAAATCAGCATATTAAAATGATTTATGAAGGATCATGTGACACAGAAGAATGGAATAATGGCTGCTGAAAATTCAGCTTTGCCATCACAGGAATAAATACAAATTTTAAATATATTCAAATAGAAAACTAAAAAAAAAAATCATAATATTACTGTTATTAAATAAATGCAGCCTTGGTGAGCAAAATAGAAATTAAAAAATCTT